CTACTTTAATAACCTAGAGTCTTTAAAAAAAGCATATAATGAATATAATAAAATGGTCATAAAAAAGACTGAAATTTTTGATAAAATGCAAAACATACAGATAGAAACATTTCACTATATGCTGTGGGAAAATGGTCTTGTATCGGTTTAATGAAATGCTGATTGGCCAGTAGCCAGGCAGTAAGTATAGGGGGACAACGAGAACAGGAGAATTTACCAAGCCACGTGGCTAACAAGAATTATGGGCTAATTTAAGAAATAAGAAAGAGCTAATAGGCCAACCAGTTTATAATTAATGTAGACCTCTGTTTATTTGGGGCTGAATGGCTGTGGGACCGGGCAGGACATAAATCTTAGTCAACAACTATAAAAGAAAATAAATGCAATCCTAGGTTTATTTATGACCTACAATGGCTAAGTGGTAGGTGATGAACATTCCATTCACTTGCCAACCAACCACATTGTCAAAAGGAAAAGGATGACACAATTTTAGGGTTGCAGAAGATCTCAACAAAGTCACTACAGTATTCCATCTCCCTTCCCTTTGGTGCCTGAATATGCAAAAGATAAAACCGACAAAATAAACATTCCATCCTTTTATAGGCTATGATTTTACTATGAAATTAAGTTTTAACTGGGCTCTTCTCACTCTGAATTCTTTCCCTGAATTCCACTGTGATAACGACATTAATCAAATGTGCATCTCTTGAACTACTTAAGTTCTGGAATCACTAAATGATACTGGCATGAACTCTGGGACAGTCTTATGCCAGGCCACCATCGTCCTGCACTTCATGTTTTCCAATTAAATGATGGGAATTATGTCTAAACTAAGTTAAGAACCTTAATCATAGTCAAAGGCTGCATTTCAAAGTCCAAGACAACGCTAATAGCAAGGCAAAACATACTATGTAACAAGTGGAGAAGTAAAAATAGAGGCCAATTTAGCTACAGTATTTTCCTCCCACATAGAATATTTAATTTATACACAACCAGAGAGTGCTTTTAAAACTGAAGTAATAAAAGATTGTTTTTAAAGAGCAGCTTTATTTACTTATTTATGTGTGTATGCAGACACCCAGTGGCCGTGGGACCCAGAAGAGGATGTCAGACCCTTGGAGCCAGAGCTACAGGTGTCTGCACTATTTTCAGTTTGTTTCTTAGTTCCACAGTTCAAACTCCAATCCGCAGGACTGCATAGCAAGGGCTCTTAAATGCTGACCCCTCTCTAGAGCCTCAACATAGGTTTTCAATACCTTTTATAAAAATACAACTGGAAGTGATTAAAGTATCCCTAAAATATGTCCATCTCAACTTCTTCATGTTTGCTAAGCACCTATAAGGTTTTAGTCTTCCCACACAAACTCATGTTCTCTAAGGCATCATCAGCAGTGGTACAGCATCAGAAGTACCTGACGGCAATCTCTAGGGAGTTCATCTAAAGCACTCACCCATTCTGCTAACCGAGCTTCTAGGTATTTCTCAGACTTCCTCTTTTTAGTATTTTTTTTCTTTTATCAAAGATGTATTTGTTTGTTTGTTTAGTGTACATATGTGTCTACATGAGTTAATATGCACTACATGTATACAGGTGCCTGTGGAGGTCGAAGGGCATTGGATACACTGGAATTGGAGTTACAGGAAGTTGTGAGCTGCCTGATGTGGGTGTTGGGAATCAAATTCAGGTCCTCTACAAGACCAAGTGCTCTTAGTCACCTCACCAGCCCCATCTCAGCCATCTTCTATGCGGCTTGAAGATGGGCGTCTACTAAAGGCAGTACAGAGCATATGAGAACCTGACAGCTGAAAACCATTAACAGCACAAGCAAATGAGTCATGGTCCATTACTACTTTGAAATTTCTTCAATTAGCTGGGCAGGGTGGCTCATGCCTTTAATCCCATCTCTCAGGAGGCAGAAGCAGGTGGATCTCTCTGAGTTCAAGGCCAGCCTGACTATACAGCAAGTGCTGTATAACAGAAAGGCCTTATCTCAAAGAAAAGAAATTTCTTCCATTTATTTTAAGGGATGTGACAGGACTATTTTTACTGCCTTTAGTTAAATATGTAAAAGGCAATCCCTGATACATGGTTCATTAACAAAAATGTTATGAATCTCTCTAAAGTTGCATCTTTCTTAACTAGATTCTGTAAAGAACATATTTTTAACAAAAATATAGAACTACCACCTATCCAATGATGAATACACCTCATTAATATCACACTATACTCTGCTGCACAATAACAGTTATTCTTAGTGGGCCATGGGTGTGTATGTGTGTATAAACACACTCACACACATATAACCAATTACAATATGCATTAATTGAGGTCTAAATTTATTTTTAAAACTTTTTGAAGACTGGAGAGATGGGTCAGCAGTTAGATTGCAATTGCTGTTCTTGAAGAAGACCCAGGTTTGGTTCCTAGTACCCATATGGTGGCTCATAACCATCTGTAAGTCCAGTTTCAGGAATTCAGGAATTCAGTGTCCTCTCCTGACTTCCAAAAGCACCAGGCATGTACATGGTGCCCAGACATACATACAGGCAAAACACTCATTTTCTTCTCAAATGTGTCATAAGGATAACTCCATTTACCAAAAGAAAGGCACTGGGGAGGACAGGGAATTATTCATCAGTTATAATAGTACCTAAGATGTAGGTCCACAGGAAGGTACATAAAGAGGAGACCAATACCTTACTGAGTGGCAGCAGAACAGTATGACTATAAGTACAAGAAGATATCTCACCTCTTTCCATAAGCAGTGAGTTATAACAGGACTTTGAAGTAATATCCTTCTATAAACATTTTCTATCATGGTCTGGATCTTGAATGTCTCCTATATCGCATGGTTATAGAGCAAGTTCCTAGATTGGGGCTATGGGAAAGTGGTAGAACCTTTAGGAGGTGTGGCCTCATGAAGACTCCTTAGGTCATTTATGGGTGTGCTACTGAAGGAAATGTAAGGACCCAGTTGCCTTCTCCTTCTTTCCCGACGCCTCCTTTCTTTTTTGATTCTTATCCATGAAGTAAGTGGTTCTGTTCCATCACACACTGCTCCTGCCATAATATGTTGATTCACTACAGGACCAAAGCAACAGAGTCAATTGATCATGTATTGGGATCTCTGAAAGAGTATGTTTGGTTGGGTGGTTGGTTGGTTGGTTAGTTTTGGTTATTTTATTTTTTCAAGACAGGGTTTCTCTGTGTAGCCCTGGATGTCCTGAAACTTACTCTGTAGACCAGGCTGATATCAAACTCAGAGATCTGCCAGCCTCTGCCTCCTGAATGCTGGGATTAAAGGTGTGCACAAACATACCCAGTTGAATAAGTTAAAGTAACATTTTCTCTTTATAAGTTGAGCGCTTCTGATATTTTCTTACACAGAAAGCTAACTTGTACATGAACACATGGTACCAAGAAGTTTATTTTACTTTTCCCTCAACCATATTCCTTTACTCTTTCTACTAGTCCAAGAGACCATCTGTCTCCTAGTTCTTATGTAGCCCAGGCTGGCTTGGAACTCGCTATGTAGACCAAACTAGCCTGGAGCATTCTGACTTCCTCTGTCCTGAATTCTGAGATTAAAGGAATGCGCCACCACATTCAGCTTCCATATTTTCCTTGTGACAAAATACTTAACAAAAGCAACTTAAGGAGGAAGGAAGAGTTTATTTGGCTCATGGTTTGAGGGTAAACTCTACTAGAAGGCAGGAAAGGCAGAAGCAATATGTGGTGGCTGTATTGTTCTCAAGAAAAAGAATGAGATGAATGCCTTTCCATTCAGTCAGGGCCCCAGCACTGAATTCATGTCTGTGAATTCAAGGCAAGCCAACAACAATTTCCAGACCTGCCAGGACTATATAGTGAGATCTTGTCTCAAAAGAAAAGAAAAAAAAAAAAAGGCGGGAGGGAGGGGAAGAAGAGTAATCCAGTCATACTTTAAAAATATTGTTTCAGGACCAACCATATAGCTCAGCAGTAAAGCATTTGCACGTACAAGACCGTGGGTAAATTCAATACCCAGTACTGAAATAAAAATTATATTATTTAATATTTTCAAAATTGCCCATCACTAAATATCTAATCATACCAATCGATTCCATGCATTAAGGTTAACTATTTAAAATTTTCTCTTTCCTATGTGCACTAGCTTTCTTTCTGATCAGTTCCTTATGTGTTTTCTTAGCAAAAAAAGAAAAAAGAAAAAGAAAGAAAGAAAAAGAAAAACTAAAGAAAAACCTTGCTGCCTATCATGTTTGCTCTACCAACTCTAAGGGGAGAAAGAAAACAAGTAACTTTATGATCACTACGCTACCCTCCCACAGCCCAGCTTGCTATCACTATGAAGATGACCAAAAACATAACAGAAATGAAAGAGAACTAGCATAAACCATGAAACAATCCTCTAGATCAGCAGTTCTCAACCTGTGGGTCATGACCCCTTTGGGGGTCACATATCAGACTTCCTGCCTATCGGATATTTATATAACAATTCATAACAATAGCAAAATTACAATTATGAAGTAGCAACAAAATAATTTTATGGTTGGGGTCAACAACATGAGAAGCTGTATTAAAGGGTCAGAGCATTAGAAAGGCAGAGAACTATTGGTGTAGATGATTATTGCTGACTGTCAACAGGATCTGGAAAGATACAGGAGACAAGCCTCCAGGCACACCTAAAAGGATTCATCTTGATTAGGCTCAATGGGATGGGAAGACCATTCCCTGGACGTGGGTTGTGGACACTGTGAGAAGAAGAAAGTGACTGAGCACAGCACTAGTCCTTCCTCCTCTCCTAACTGTTCATGTGTCCAGCTGCATCAAATTCCTGCCTCCATCATTTTCTTCCCATGAGGGCCTGTACTTCAGAACTGTCAGACAAATTGAACCATTCTCCTTAAAGTTGATTTGTCAAGAAATCTTGTTATAGCAGCAGGAAAGTATGACGAAAGAAGCAGAAGTATAAAAGAGCCAGTTTCTACACATTTCTTACCTATTGCAGGAATCTGACTCTGAGGAGAGAAGAATATCAGTACAACTGGAAGAATCATCTGGTCTCTCAGGCTCCGGCTGCACTGGGGAGTCCAGTTTCGACTGAGGAAAGTGGTTTGTTACTGAGACTGTATCCGAAAAGTTTACATTATCTTCTTGTCCTAACAAGAAATATAAGATTTTTTTAAAAAAAAAATTAAAGAATGTTAAAATGCATACCTTCTATTTCTTTAACACTTAATATTGTTATTTCTTCTTTAAAAATAGAAGTAAAAGAACACTGATTCTAAAACTATAAAATAAATGATACGTTATTGCTACTATCTTATTTGTGTTTTCCAGGACTGATTTACTTAAACGTAAAGTTTCCTTTAAAATCAGAGATAGGAATGCCTTAACATTCTAATGAAGATCCTATTAGCAGATTACTAAGGAATAATTGCTATTTCAAAATCAAAGAACAGTGACAAATTAACAAAACAGACATAAGGGAATCATACTATTTGTCACATGACATATCAAACATCTGGACACTTTTCAAAACCCATTAAATAAACTATTCACTATAAAGAAAGGGAAAACCAATCAGACATAAGAATCCTGCCATTTGATCTGACACATCACATTTTTGTACATCCTTTGTCATATTCTATTTTCAAAGTTTCTTTTTATAAAGATAAAGATACAGGGACACCTCATGGTAGTTTGAAGGACTATGACACACAGCATAGGCAAATATTTAAAAATAAAAGAACAAAAAATACTAGCTGTGCCAAACTGTCTGTTGCCTAGGACTCTCTCCCTTTTACAGTGTGTGCCAACATTATGGGGATTTTCATCTGTGCTATCCTGACAATTCAGAAAATGAATAAGAAAATAAATGAATAAAAGTAGTTGTTAAGGTTTTGTTAGCAAAAAAAAATTATTGAATAGGACAAATTCTTTAAAAACAAAACCCTTTCCAAGTTTATATACTCAAGATTTTCAGAAATAACCCTCAATGTTTGTTATACAGAAGGACAACATTAATCATCAATGTAAGTTCCTAATGCTACAAGTACCAATAAACTACTGCCACTATTCATCAGGGAGAGAGGAAGGGCCTTAATCAGTGACTTTCCAGAAGGCCAAGAACTTCCTCTTATAAAAAATACACCCTAAATCAGAAGGCTACACCTTCTGGTAACTGGCTATATTATAAAAAGACAAGAGAAATACAAAGCTTTTGCTTTTGGTCTGATTGTCCTCACTCTCTCCACAAGTTCATCTACTCTGTTGCTGAAGTATTCCTTAACTGGCATTAGGACCTACTTCTTGGCAGGATTCCAACACAGGCTGAAGACTAGCAGAACTGGTTGGACTAAACAACTACTGAATTTTTGGCCTTTACATCAGGAGACAGCCATTTTCAATTTAGCCAAACCACAGGCTGTAAGCCATTCTTAAGGAATGCCCCCACCGTGCGTGTGTGCGTTCTAACAGTTCTGTTTCTCTAAAGAACCTAATACAGATGGTCTCCACAAAAGGAAACACACACTTAGAAGACGGTTTCCTCAACCAAGAAAACTATCCAGTACTGACAAGATGTGGAGAAATGAGAACTTAAATGCACTGCCAGTGAGAACGTAAAATGATGCGGCCATTATGCAGCACAACTTGTTGGTTCTGCAGAAGGTTAACCACAGCACTACCATATGAACCAGAAATTCCACTTAGACCTTAGACATTGTCTGGTTAGCTTAACTATCAATTTGACACAGTCTAGAACCATATGAAAGAAAGCCTCAGTTGAGAAATTCCGTACATTAGTTGGTCTGTGAGCATGTCTGTGGGAGGACTGTCTTGATTGTTAACTGATGTAAAAGGACCTAGTTCAACCTAGGTAGGCAGGCCTGAACTATGTAAGAAAGCTAGCTGAGTATAAACCAGTCTGAGAGACAGGTAGCAAACAGTACTTTTCCATGGTTTCTGATGTACTTCTTTGACTGTGGAGCAAATCTCTTGGCTGAAAGTCATGTTTGGAACAGCAAGCAGACCTGCCTTCAAGTTCCTGGCCCTGAATCCCTTAATAATAGACTGTGACCTGGGGTTCTAAGCTAAATAAACTCTTTCCTCCCCAAAGTTTCTTTTGGTCACAGCAACAGAAATGAAACTAGAACAGACATGTAATAAAAGAACTGAAAGCAGGGTCTTCAACAGACATCTGAGAACTAAAGAAAACTTTACAAAAACATCATAATAGTTAAGAAGGCAAAAATAACAAATTAATAGACAAAATGCTGCATATGCATACTAAAGAATAAAGAAATTTTAATATTTGAAACAATATTGACAGGCAATAAAAACATTATGCTTAGAAAAATAAGCCAACATAACAAGACAGATACTGTATAATTCTACTTGCATTAGATACCCAAAGCAAACAAATCCATAAGCAGACACAACAGAGATGATCAGGACTATGTGGGAGAGCAGGGAGTGATGTGATACACCACAGAGTTTGTACGAGGGATGCTAAAAGGGTTTGGGGTATAGATGGTTAAACAGTACTATGAAACCATTAAACATCGTATCCTGCCGACTACGTACTGGGCAGTTTTGGCCACCAAACACCCCTAGCAGGGCTGCTATTTATGTACACAAAAAAAGAAAAAAAAATCTTCTTAAAGGGCTGGAGAGATGGCTCAGTGGTTAAGAGCATTGCCTGCTCTTCCAAAGGTCCTGAGTTCAATTCCCAGCAACCACATGGTGGCTCATAACCATCTGTAAAGAGGTCTGGCGCCCTCTTCTGGCCTTCAGGCATACAGACAGACTATTGTATACATAATAAATAAATAAATATTAAAAAAAAAAAGAAACCATTAAACAGCCATGAGTTGTGCACCTACGAATTACTAAAAATATGCCGGGTGGTGGTAGCTCACACCTTTAATCCCAACACTCACGAGGCAGAGGCAGGCAGATCTCTGTGAGTTCGATGCCAGCCTGGTTTATAGATCGAGTTCCAGGACTAGCTCCATAGCTACTGAGAAACTGTCTTGACAAAAACAAAAAACAAAAAATGTATACATGTTGTGTGTATTCTGTCACAATTAAGAAAAGTAGTAAAGAAATTTTTGTGCCCCTTTTCCCATTATGATTCTGTTTTGCTCATGGCCTAAAGCTTCGGCAACAGAAATACATTAATCTCAAATCTAAAGCTGGATCAAAACTAAGTAATGCACTGAATGTGTTGGAACACCAGCTGCATTAGCTTTAAACTCTCCATCGCAACATTTCAGCAAAGTAAACATCAGAGTTCCACAACAGAAATAATTATCTTTGTCTTAGGATCTCCAGTAATAAATCTCACACCTAGAAAATATCCTCATACTTAGACAAACACAGAGCTTGGGATGCTTCATAACTACAAACAGGGAGACTTCAGGGGCTGTCTCTATGGGACAGTCTTCCATTGTTTCCAAAGCAAGCAATATGCTACCTTATAGTCAACAACTGCTACATTAAGCTTTCTAAAAAGTACTTCTCCCCATTTCAAATGCTGAGTAATCTTAGTAAGTCACATTGGTTTTATAGTCTTTTTACTTTAAAAAAGAGAGGACCAACAAGATGGCTCAGTGGGTAAAGCACTTGCAAGTCAGCCTGACAACCTGAGTTTGATCACTGAAACCCACATGGACAAAACCAACTCCCACAAGTTGTCCTGTGATATTTTCACAGTGCACAAATGCATACACATGCACACATGCACATACATACACAGAAAGAATAAATAAATGTTTTAAAAAAGTAATGAAATTCATTAGGCTTTTGTTTCATTAAGTCTTACCCATGATGGCAGATGGCAGTTTCTCTGCAGGTCCATCTCTTCTCATTACTGTAGCTTTTGACATTCTGCCAGCTTTCTTGTATCCTTTTTTGGCCTGATTCACTAGAAGCTGGAACTCACTCTTATGCCTTTTACCTAAATTCAAAAGGACTGTGAATGGGTGAACCATCTACACGTGACACACTGAGAATCAGGCACAACGCTGCTCAGTATCATCATTAGCAGAATCACCTGCACTGAATGCAAAAGCTACCATGAAGAAGATCAGAGGGCTTAGGGGCAGCTGACAAACCTCTCTGTGTCTTTCTCTTCCCCAAAGCAAACAGGGTACAGGATATAATTTGCTACTCTACGTTTTTTTTTTCTTCCTCCCTAAGCCCTTAGTATGTAGAGGCTTCCCACAGAGTACAAAATACAGACTGATAACCTTTCCTCCCTCCCTCCCACCTTACTTTCTCATTTTGTTTCAGTGAGGCAGGGACTCAATTTATAGACTAGACAGACCTCAAACTCATAATCCTCCTTCCTCAATTTCCCAAATGCTAGTGTTTCAGGCATGTGGCACCACACCCAGTGATTGACACTTCCAAAATAACTTCCAAAAGATGGCTTTCTAATGTTCAAGATACACAAGACTACTAAGAAGAAGTGGATCACATTAACTGCACAGAGGAAAGGGCTCTAGAAAAGTAGTCTTACAATAAAGAATGTTTTCCTAACATTTGTTTCCCAGCAGAATCCTTTTAACATTTTACATTCTTTAAGATACATAACACCATCTTTACTATCACTTCAAAACATAACCCGACATCAAGGTCCTCATTATGGAAATTAACAACACACTCCTAGAGAACCCTTGGTGTTAGAGCACAAAAATTAGGACACTTACTTGTGAGTCTGAGCCATAGTTCCAGCAGCTGTAGTTGTACCGTACTTACTGGTAACCATGGTTCAAAATAATATTGTCTGTAAATGCCCTCAAATTTTAGAAAACTAATACTATAATGGTAAAGACAAAATTTTGAGAATTTTCCACACACAGCCAATAATACATACTTTTTAATACTTGGTTTCTCCTACATTTAGCACAATACAGAGCAGCAGGGAGTGCACTGGAATGAAGGTCTATACAGACATGTTCAGAGCTACTTTTCTGGGATCCGAACCATTCAATTAATGGTCAAACTGCAAGCTACAGGTAACCATTTTCTGTAGTCATAGAAAATAATTTTCTGTAGGCATATAAAATTTCTTCAGCCACAGAATTGGCTGGACCGACATCCCTACCTCACTATGGAAGAAGCCAGGTTTGCTTCCATGTGTACATTCATTATCAGATTCTAACTCAAATCTGACTGCTCTAATAATTCTCTTTTGTACATCTCAAAACCATCTTCCTAATCCGCAATCAGTTTTTTAAATTCTATTTTATTTTTTAATATTTTAAATATTTATTCATCTTTAAGTATTAAGTGTTTACCTGGAAGTCTGTATGTTCACCACGTGTGTACTCACGGAGGTCAGAGAGGGCATAAGATCCACTAGAACTAGAGTTATAGATGGTTTGAATTGCCATATGGGTACTGGAAACCCAACCTAGGTCCTCTTCAAGACCAGCAACTGCTCTTAATTTCAAGTCATCTCTTCAGCCCTTAATAACTAGTTTTTAGGTCTCTAAAAACAATCTAATGAGATAAACAACTTCATCTGTTTCTGAAAAGCTATCCTTCAGCATGGTAAACAGCACAGAGTTATGAAGCACGTCAAGTAAAAAAGAAGATGGATTCCTGCATTTGAACAGAGAGAGCAAGTCATTGAGGAGATTGCTTCTGATTCTAATATATATGTGTGTATACAAACTCCCAGTGAAACTAATCAGAAGGCTGTAAAATATTGGGTAAGTTATAAAAGACTAAACTTTCAGCAAAAGAAATTACAAGATGGGCATAAAAATTACTGGAAAAAAATAGTTCTTTAGAAATAGATAAAATTCTATGAAAAGTGATTTTTCAAATGAAAAAAATTAAACATTAACATAGTAAAGTATGCCTTTAATCATAACACTAGGGAGACAGAGGCAGGTGGATTTCTGAGTTTGAGGCCAGCCTGGTCTACAAAGTGCCAGGCCAGTCAGGCCTACAAAAAAGAAATTAAGAAGCTTAACAAAAGGTTATTAGAGAAAGCCATCTCTTTAGAAGCAGGTTAAGAGAGTCTACACAAAGAATACACAACAGATAATTTCTTTCACGCACTATTTTATTCCATGCATGTAAAGAGAATCACCTCATCTACTTCCTCAGCTCCCAGAATGCACAGGCAATACTACCTCATCATTCTGGAGCTGCTATTAGGCAAGGGTAGTTTAGTTAATCAAGTGTAGTTTGTTCTCTTGGTTTCTTTTCCTGTGGCTGTGATAAATACTGACAAAAGCAACTTAGAGAGAAAGAGCTTGTTCAGGACAGCCCAGGTGCCAGGAGCTTGAACCAACTGGTCCCTTCTCATTCACAACGGGGAAACAAACAAATGAATAGTGCTCAGTCCCTTTGAGACATTTATGAAATCTAGGATCCATAGCGTTGAAGAGATGGCTCAGAGTTAGAAAAACAGGCTGCACTTCTAAAGGACCTGGGTTCAATTCCCACCAGTGACATGGTGGCTAGCCAGTCTGTGACTCCAGTTCCAAGCGATCAACACCCACTTCTGGCTTCTGAAGGTACACATGGTGCACAGACACAGATGCAGGCAGAATACTCATACACATAAAAATAAATCATTTTAAAAATTTAAATCTAGTATTCCAACCAGGTACCACTCATAGTCGGCAGGTCTTCCCATCTCAACACAACCAACATATCCCCACAGGCATTCCCAGAGGCCCCTCTCCCAAGTGACTCCAGTTTTATCAAGATGACAACAGAAACCACCACAGCCATTTTCCTAGATTTTTCTTTTGTTTTTTCTAAGCCATCAGGAAACCTAAGATTGTTACCTGAGGTTTGCTCAAAAACCCCTGAAGTAATCAAAAGGTTAAACGGCTTTACTCCTAAAGTACTAAGGCTCAGATTTATAGAGTCTTTTCTTGCTTGAATCTAGTTACTCCACAGCTAGGTTGGAAACAAAAACTAAATAGCTGCCACCACTCTGGTTCTGATTCAAGAAGTCCAAGACAGCTGCCTTGGAAAAAAGAAAATAAATGATGCCAACAGATTGTGACTAATAAAACTGTTCCCACTCATCCTTTCACTTATCTTAGGAGATCTGCTATTTGGCAAGGAGAACTCTCGAATCGAAAATATGAGTTTGAGTTATATATGTCCTGAATTTTCCTCTGAAGAATTTAAGTGGTTCTGGGGGCTGCAGATGTGGCTCAGCAGTTATCAGCACTGGATACTCTTCTAGTGGATCCAGGTGTAGCTACCAGAACCCAGTAGCTCACAACCATCCATAACTCCAGTTCCAGGAGGCCCAACCCTTTCTTCTGACCTATGTGGGTACCAGAGATATATGAGGTGCAGACATACATGCAGGCAAAACATGCAGACACATAAAATAACTGACCCTTAAAAAAAATTAAGTGGTTTGACTAGTTATGGGAGCTGATGAATAAGTTCATGTCTACCAACTCAAAATGACTGTAGCTCATTTTCTACTCTTCATTCAAACCCCATCACAGCCTCTTTATGGACCCTCTTTGTAGACAAAAAAATGTATGAATTTATTTGAAGAGAAATTATCTTCTTCCAAGCACCACAACTCCTTGTCTGTGTACACATGCTTATCTTCCAGTCATTATCATGAAACTGCTTGTGTTAGAACTAAAGGCCAACCTCTAGCTTATACTCTAGACTTCATCACAGAAACCTCATATATAGAATCTTTTTAAAACCATTTGTCTTAGTTAGGGTTTCTATTGCTGTGAAGAGACACAATATCCACGACAACTCTTATAAAGAAAAACATTTAATTGGGTGGCTTACAGTTGAGTCCATTATCATCATGGTGGAACATAGTGGTGAGCAGGTAGACATGGTGCTGGAGAGGTTCCTGAGAGTTCAACATCTTGCACAGGCAACAGGAAGTGGTATAAGACACTGGGAGTGACTTAAGCATATATGAGACCTCAAAGTCCACATCCACAGTGACACATTTCCTCCAACAAGGCAATACCTACTCTGTAGTAGGAGGAGCAGGCTGCGTCCCGCTACCTGGCTAGCTTAGCCCCCAAAATAATCACGTGGAAATTGAATTAATTAAATTACTGCCTGGCCATTAGCTCTAGCCTCTTATTGGCTAACTCTCACATCTTGATTAACCCATTTCTATTAAATCTGTGTATCACCACATGATTGTGGCTTACCGGCAAGAGTCTAACCTACATCCGTCTCAGGTAGGAGATTCATGGTGTCAGTCTGTCTCTGCTTTCTTCCTCCCAAAATTCTGTTCTGTCTTCCCCGCCTACCTGAGTCTGCCCTATCAAAAGGCCAAGACAGTTTCTTTATTCAACCAATGAAAGCAATACAAATACAGAAGGACCTCCTACACCACTACTCCAACAAAGACATACCTGCTAATAGTGTCACTCACTTTGGGGGGCATTATAGTGCAAATTCTAATCGGGAAGGGGAAGAAGAAAGGAATGAGGAGGAGGAGGAGGAGGAGGAGGAGGAGGAGGAGGAGGAGGAGGACCTGAAAGCTTCACACAATGGCCTAGCTGCACCTCCTTTCAGAGTCACCCCTGACATATGCCTGGCCTCAGTGACTTTCCTTAGGACTCCTTGACTTTAAAGTCAGAATCACATAGCTGAAGGTGACAAGTTCTGCTGCTTGCTAAGGCTGGAACATGGTCCCCTCATTCAATTACAAATTTACCAGCTTTCTGCTTTTGATGGTTACCTTCACTGCCTAATCTCAGCTCTTCTGGAACTTGCTCTGTAGACCAGGCTGGCTTCAAACTCGGAGATTACCAGTCTCTGCCTCTGGAGTGATGGGATTAAAGGCTTCAAGCTTTTCCTTAATTCCTTTTCACAGATTGGAAATTTAGCTGAGTGGGATCTTTTCCTAAGGTCACCACTCCCTTTATTCCAATTCTTAATCTGTTTATCTCCTTGAACACAGGAATTATCTCTACTCCATTTCCTGATACTCCTTTTTCTCCTCAAATTTAACATTTTGTAATTTACCCTTCTCAGTTTGTTCCTTTTTACTATAGAACTTTAGAGTTACCACTAATAACCATACAACAGAGTCTATATTAGGCTGTTTTAAGATTTTCTCTGTCAACGAAATTATCCAAAACTCTTCACTTCAGCCAGTACAAGCAGTAGGGATAAATCCTGGTGTCACTTCCAGTGGCCCTGCAGTCTGCCCCAGCCATACAGTTGTCATCCACATTCAGAGGGTCTAGTTTGGTCCTATGCTGCTTCCTTCCCTGTCTGGCTCCCATTAGCTCAGGCAAACTGTTCCAGTGGGTATCCCCATCACCGTCTTGACCTCTTTGCTCATATTCTCACTTCTCCCACTCTTCAACTGGACTTTGGGAGGTCAGTTCAGTGGTCCGATGCAGGTCTCTGTTTCCATCTGAATGAAAGTTCTATGGTGATATTTAAGCTATTCATCAGTCTGACTACAGGGCAAAGCCAGTTCGGGCCCCCTCTCCTCTATTGCTTAGGTTCTTAGCTGGGGTCATCCTTCTAGATTCCTGGTAATTTCTCTAGTGCCAGGTTTCTTGCTAGCCCCATAATGGCTCCCTCAACCAAAATATCTCTTTCCTTGCTCTCATCTCTGTCCTTTCTCCATCTCAACTCCCTCCACTTCTCCCCCCACCATCTTCCCCTTCCACCCTCGCTTCTCCCTCCACCCCCATGTCCCCAATTTTGTCAGGAAATATTGTCTATTTCCCCTTTCCAGATGGATCTATGTATGTTTTTTCTTAGAATTCACCTTGTTACTTAGCTTCTCTAGGATCATAAACTATAGGCCAGCACAATTACCTTTTTTTTTCTTTTGGAAGCAGGTACTGGAATGTATATCAGGATAGCCTCAAACATATAATCTCATGCCTCAGCTTCCTGACTGCTACCATACCTGGCTTAGGATATCATTTTTAAGTGAAAGTACAACAAAGTGTGGTCATCAGATTTGAGTTCTGGTACACATAGACTCAAAAGTGAATGACAGGACAGGAATGTAAAGGAAAACAAACAAAAGTATTTTCTGCCAAAGAGAAAATTAAGACTTTTCAGTAAATATTAGAATGTTAGGAAAGTTACATGTGACACTGTGAGCGTGACAGTTTCCTAATTCCTACCTCCTCTGATGACTCAGAACTGTCTGTAACTCCTGTTCCAGGAGATCAGTCCCCCTCTTCTGGCCTCTGCAGGTTGCACATGATGCACGAATATGCATGTGGGCAAAATAGCCATACACTTAAAATAACACAATTAAAATAATACAAAAAGTAAACAAGATATGGAAAAGCATACACAGCATGAAGAGTCTAAATTGTTTATTCCCTGGCTCGGGGGTGATTGATGTGCTCCTAGTTTTATGTCCATTAGACACAAACTAGAGTCATTTGGGAAGAGGGAATCTCAATTGAAAAAATGTTCCCACCAGACTGGCCTGTGGGCTTGTTTGAGGGACATTTTCTTGATTGATGACTAATGTGGAAGGGCCCAGCTCACTGAGGGTGGTGCCACTGCTGGGCTGGTGGTCCTGGGTTGCTTTTAAAAGGCAGACTGAGCAAAACATGAGGAGAAAGTGAGTAACACTCTTCAGTGGCCTCTGCATCAAATCCTGCCTGGAATTCCTGCCCTGACTTTCCTAGACCATAGACTGCAAGTAGTAAGATGATAATAGACTCTTTCTCCCCGGGTTGCTTTTGTTCATGGTATTTAGCACAGCAACAGAAGCCTTAACACAGGCAGGTGATCTGACTTTGCTATTGAGACAATATCTGAGAATTCTTTAGGTTCCATATTTCATGAAGCTTTTCTGCCTGGTCTGATAGTGATGCAAGTCACTCGTCTTCCTGTGTGGACCCCAGAAACTGTTGTGCCTTGTTCTTTCACACAGCCAGGAGTAACCAGCTTCTTTCACAGATCTTTGGAGCTGTCTTCTCTCCACAGTTGCCTTCTCACTGGCACTGTACCACAAATTCTGGCTACCTTGGCTTCCAAGAACTATGATATCTGTCTTAGCTCAGTGGTAGCAACAGGTTCCACATCATAGTATCTGAAAACTGCTATCAGACTGTGGTGCTTTCTATCTTGTTTCCCTCTCAGTCCTGTGCTACCTGTTTGCCAACATCTAAGACAAACCTTAACATATATTTCATCAGATCAATTTTTTTTTTTTGGAGGAGGAAAGTCAATCAAATCCGGTATGCCATCTGTCTAAAAGTAGAACTAGAACTGTATACTTATTTTTACATTTTGGGGACAGACAAAATTTTATATTTTTTGCTACATTTCTGACCTCTCAAGTAGACTAGATTTGAGGAAATCCATGTTCATTACTGTAAGCTGGTGGCTGGAGAGTACACAGACTGTGGTAAGGAAACTATTATTGCTGTTTTGCCAAATGAACATGGTATGACCATTAAAATGCTTTCTAACTATTTATGTTCATGTTTGTCAGTTTGGAGAGAGAAGCTACTCTCAGCAGTGGATGGCAGAATCAAAACTGGTTCAAAGTATTGAGAATGACTGTTTAACAAGCAGCTGTAAAGGACATCTGGACCACTGGAAAGCTGTCTTCTCAGCCTTACATAGGGCTGCACTCTTGAACTTACAGCAGCTACAATTATGGGCACAACAGTGTCCCTGTCAATATCCTCCCCTACCACTGAAGATCTATTTGCAATTATGCTTTTCATCAGTTATATAAACAAAGGATAAGGTAAAAGTGCCAGCGCTCCTGTAAATAACCCCTCACCCACACTGCTGTGAACAATCCTAATTAAACTCATTGAGTCATACGCAACAGCTAAGAAGAAAATGAGTAGGTTAATCTGATCAAATACATTACACATGTACTCCACCAGGCACATACAGTAGCCAACTACAGCTACTGGAGGGAGGGGTAGTTTTTTGTCAGCTTGACACAAGCTAAGGGTCCTTTGGAAAGAGGAAACCTCAGTTGAGACAATGCCCCATTAGTTTGTAGGAAGGCCTGTGGAGCATTTTCTTGATTAATGATATGGGAGGACCCAGTCTACTGCAGGCAGTGCCACCCATGGGCAGGTTCTGGGTTATGTAATAAAATAGGCTGAGCAAGCTAGTCAGCAGTATTCCTTCATGGAGTCTGCATCAGTTCCTGCCTCCAGGTTCCTGCACTGACTTCCCTCCATGATAGTATACTTTCCTCCTTGAGTTGCTTTTGGTCATGGTGTTTATCATAGCATAGAAAGCAAACTGGGACTATGTGGGTGTTTCAGTCTCCTTCCCTGCTGCTGAATCTGTCCTTCAAAGTAAGATTGGAAGGAAGAAAGAAAACTTTGCCTGAGCACAATGGAACTAACCAACATTCATTATGTGCTGTTTGCTGGCCCTCAACTAGCGTAGAGGCACACACTTCATACACAGCACTTGGAAGGCGGAGGACAGTTTGGGCTACTGAGCAAGACCTGACTCAATAAAGAAAGGCAGAGAAAGAGAGGAGGAGACTGAGAAGAAGAGGGAGGAGAGAGAGGGGAAGTGTGGAGACAATGAGAAGGAGAGACCGGCAGAACCAAGAGGAATAAGGAATTTCAGTCCTCATTCAGTTTGAGGCTGGAGATGTAACCCTTCCAGGAATACTAGTCTAATGCATGCAAGGCCTTGAATTTCAATCCTCAGTGCTGCAAAAATAAAACAAAATTAAAATTAAAAAATAGAGGAAGTCAGATCTCTGTAGATTCAAAGCCAGCCAGCCAAATCTACATAGAAAGCTCCACAATAGACAGGGCTACACAGAACAATCCTGTCTCAAAATAAATAAATACCAATCAACTAAGTAACTAAGACATAACAACTACCCAGTTAACAAAAACAGTAAGGTGTGGCCTGGAAAGGATACACAAGCAGACCACTTACAGAAAAGGAAATGATAAAGTGTGAGAGAAACTAACAAGAGAAGGAAACCTATTTCTGACACAAACCTCCAAGCCACAGAAATGCTGTACCTCCTTACAGTAGAACTGATACTGCAGGCCTGAGACTCGATACAGTCCTGAGTGCTTCTATGTCTGCCCCATCTTCTCACAGAATGGTTTCTGAGAAATAACTCATGTTTGCCAAGTGCTTGGTGACAATGAACTCAAAACAGAATGTTAGTCACAGATCTTAAGACAGGTGCCACATACAAAAGGCTATCTGAGTAGACATCCACTAAATCCCAGTCTCTGAAGCAACACTAACAAGAATATACCAAACATTAATATCAAACATTTTTTAATTACCTAAGATGTTAAACAGTAACTTAAACTCTTTACAATAAGAACATGTTGCACAACTTACGATATTTACTGTGAATTTCATCTATCTCCTTCTCTGTCTGGTCCTTTGTAAAAACCATGACCTAAAATAATAATTTAAAAAAATCTTCAGAATTACATCAAAATGACAAAAATGGAAATCAATGCACAAGTTTCAAAACTTCAAATGTGGTGCTTAAAACAGAGGAAGCCAATCCGCTTCTGAGTAGCCTGCACATTTCCTCCAACTATCATCAACAACACAGTCTTACTCATCACTTCTCCCTCATCAGCAGGTTTTTATTTTTGTTAAAAAAGGAACTTTTTCCTCAAACCAAGTAACATCCAAGACGGAAATCTCACCATGATTAAATACGTTTTTTAAACAATATTATAGTGAAATCTGAGAGGTTGTATATGCCCTGGTGTGTGCGCATGTGTGTATGTGCAAGTGTGGATGGATGAGCATGCTCGTGCACATATGAAGACCCTCTGCCTTATTTTCTTGAGACAGGGACAGGGCTTCTCACTGAACCTGGAGCAAAGCTGGTGAGTAGTCCTAGCAGTCTCCTGTCCCCACTCCCCACAGCAATGGAGTTAGAGAACATGCAGCCATGCTTGACTTTTTACATGAGTGCTGGAGATTTGAACTCAAGTTCTCAGGCTTATACACCAAGTGATCTTTCCTGCCAAGCCATCTACAGCTTCAGATGTTTATTTATTTGACAAATGTTCATGTTATAAATGAGTAGTTTGGCAGTAGCTGTGGATTTTAGGCCAAGGTGGGATTCATTTGTAGAGAAATTTTAAGTTTTGGTTCTTCCCATAAATAAAAATATCCCAATAAAATGTGTAAAGTATCTATATCCAACTCCAAATAGTTGAGGAAAAAAATACCCCAAATCAAAACACATAAGCCTGTATCTAGAAGAGAAATGGAGGAAAATCATGTCAGGTAATAAATCTTTGATAGTAAAGAATAGTACCCTTCCTTCCACCTTTCTGCATATATAAGGTTTCTCAAATGAAATATTGTGGATAAATATTTGGTAGAGAAAGAGAGCCAGAACAAAGGAAGGGGAGAATATGAACAAAGTACAATGATATGAATGTATGAAACACCATAAAGAAATCCACTGTTTTGTTGTTACTAAAAACACTAGTTAAAAATTAAGATATATTAAGAAAACAAAGTCAAATTTTAAGCAAGTCTGATTTTTTAGTTGTACATGTCATTTCCTCTTTCTGCTTTGAAAACTTGCATGAATCTCCTTTCTAATTCTTTTTTTTTTAAATATTTATTTATTTATTATGTATACAATATTCTGTCTGTGTGTATGCCTTCAGGCCAGAAGAGGGTACCAGACTCCATTACAGATGGTTGTGAGCCACCATGTGGTTGCTGGGAATTGAACTCAGGACCTTTGGAAGAGTAGGCAATGCTCTTAACCTCTGAGCCATCTCTCCAGCCCTCCTTTCTAATTCTTGAAGTATAGTTCATCAATTAAAGTGTGGTTCTGTATTAAGAATATTACATTAGATACATAAAACCCAGGATAGCTAAAACAATTCTGAGTTATAAAAGAACTGATGGAGGTATCACCACCTCAGGTTTCAAATTGTATTATTATAGAGCTACAATCATTTAAAAAACATGGTATTGACATAAGAAGGCATACTGATCAACAGAATAGACCTGAAGACCCAGACATAATTCCACACACCTACAGACACCTAATTTTTGACAAAGAAACTAAAAATACACATTGAAGGAAAGACAGTATCTCCAACAAACAGTGCTGGTTAAACTGGACAGCTGCATGTAGAAGAATAAAAATAGATCCATAGGGGGGCTGGAAAGGTGGCTCAGAGGTTAAGAGCATTCCCTGCTCTTCCAAAGGTCCTGAGTTCAATTCTCAGCAACCACATGGTGGCTCACAACCATCTGTAATGGGGTCTGGTGCCCTCTTCTGGCTTGCAGGCATACACACAGACAGAATATTGTATACATAATGAATAAATAAATATTTTAAAAAAATAGATCCATAGCCATCACTCTGTACAAAATTCAACTCAAAATGGATCAAGGACCTCAATATGAGACTAGATACACTGTATCTTAAAGAAGACAACGTAGTAAATAGGCTTGAATTCACTGGCACAAGAAGAGAATTTCTAAACAGGACATCAACAACAGGCAGTAATAAGTGGAACCTCAGAAAGCTAAAAGCTTCTGTATAGCAAAAGACACCATCATTCGAGCGAAGTGTCAGCATACAGAATAGGAAATCTGATAAAGGGTTAGTTATCTAGAATATATACATAAAGAACTAAAAAAAAATCTGCACATAAAACAAATGGGTTAACCCAATTTAAAAATGGGGTGCAGAATTAGTTTTCAAAAGATGAAACACAAATGGCTGAGAAACACTTTTAAAATGTTCATCCTTAGCCATCAAGGAAATTAAAACTATTTTGACACTGTCTCACCCCAGTCAGAATGACCCAAAACAGTAAAAACAAATAATAATACTTGCTAGTGAAGATGCGGGGAAAGGGAACACTTATTCACTGCTGGTAGGAGTGCAAACTGGTACAGTCACTATAGAAATCAGTGTGGAAGATCCTCAAAAAGCTGAAAATCAATTTACCAGATTCAGCTGTACCCATCTTGGGTATATATCCAAAAAACTCAACTTTCTACTACAGAGTACTTGCTCATCCATGTTAATTGGGACTCTAGTCATAATAGCCATAAATTGCAGATAGCATAGATCTCCATCAATTGAGAAATGGGATTATTCATCTACTAAGATAACTAAAATAATGAAATTTGCAGGTAAATAGATGGAGCTAGAATCAATCATCCTGAGCGAGGTAACCTAGATCTAAAAAAAAAAAATATTTCATGTTTCCTTTTGTATATGGATGTCAGTTTAAGACATGTGTATGTCAACTTGAATAATCTCAGAGGTTAGCTAATAAGGGATCAGGTATAATGTTCCAAGGAAAAGGAAATAGAATACAGTATTATAAAGGGATAAAGGAGAAATTAGGAAATAGGAAGGGGAATGGAAGGGCAGAATAAAAGAGGGACACCTCAAGTATGATTAATAAAAGCTCAGAAACTGATATAGGTTTCAACCTGAAGATCCAAAAAGCAAAGCAGCCAGCCATTGGCTCTTACCTCAACCTCAAGTCTGAAAATGGCAATCCTGCCTCCAGGAATCTCAGAATGAGACTGTGTCTGTGAGCTGTCTCTTCCCGTCTTATTATCCTCTCTAGTTCTGGGATTAAAGGCATGTACCACTACCACCTGGTTTCTATGGCAAACTAGTGTGTCTACTGGGATTAAAGGTGTGTGTTGATACTGCCTAGTCTATAAGGCTTGCCAGTGGTGCTGTTTTCTCTCAGATCTTCAGGCAAGCTTTAGTTATTAAAATACAATTGAAATGCGACTACAGATACCTAACACTAAAGGCTCTCTGAAAAGCCATATGGAAATCTACTACTATAGAAGCTTCCTAAAATATATACATATATGAAAGAAATTTAAATGGAATCAATGCACCAATTAGACATCTTATGTCACCAAGTAAAACCTCCAGTGACAAAAATAGGTTATATCTTGTTGAATCGTGACCAAAAAATATCCCATAGACACCTCCAAATACAAGCTATTATCAAGGTTATTGGTTATTCTCTATAACCTGATAGTAAGGCCCTATTATTGATGTCATCAAACATGGGGAAACTGAGCTGGTACCCAACTAGAAGCTTTACCTGATGTGGGAGAGTCTTCTGTTTTGTGTTGATTTCATTGGTTAATAAAGAGACTGCCTTGGCCCTTTAATAGGACAGAAAATTAGGTAGCCGGAGTAGACAGAACAGAATACTGGGAGAAAGAAGCCGAGTCAGGAAGTTCACCATGATTCTCCTCTCCGAGACAGAAGCACTTAAGCTCTTTCCTGGTAAGCCACCTCGTGGTGTTACACAGATTATTAGAAATGGGTTAATTGAGATGTGAGAGTTAGCCAATAAGAGGCTGGAACTAATGAGCCAGGCAGTGTTTAAAAGAATACAGTTTCTGTGTAATTATTTCGGGTAAAGCTAGCCGTGTGGAGCTGGGCGGGAACGCAGCCCACCACCCCACACAACATTTACCCCTACTGACTAGTGTTCATGGTACTGGAAAATATTCTTGCATACTACCAGAGGAGAAAAGTAATTATTAGTATCACTCAGCTACAACAGACACCTGCCTTCAAGATATTCTGGCACAATGTTACAGGAATAACCAACTATTCTTATTTTATTGGATTTAAGGCCCATTCCATGAGCTGGAATCCATACCTGTGTCAGGTCAAAAACTAGCCATGGGCATAAAGGAAAACCTACTATTATTCTGTTAACAGAACAAAGCAGTAAAATGATTCCTACTGACATACTGCTATACCCATATATTAGAGCATTATTCAATTTTCATCAGAAAAGTTTCTTGTAGTAGACGGTAATTAACAAAGAGATTCACAACTGGACAATGTTCAGAGAATGAGAGACTGTGGAACACTCAGCCCTAAATGGGACATTTTTATCAAACTCCTCCCCTCAAAGTTCAAGGATCTATATGGGAGAAGTGGAAAGATTTTCAGAGCCAGAGGCAATAGATGACTCCAAGGAAACAGTGTCTTCCAGACACAACAGGACAGATGCACATATGAATTCAGAGACTGGGACAGCAGGTACAAGACCTGCACAAGTTCAAACCAGACAAAATTCCCAGCACTGAGAAGGGGAAGTGAACACAAAGGCCTACACCTAACCAAGAAGCTATTAGTAATTGAAACCTGCTGGCAAAGGGAATATCAGGTTTCTTTAATGGAGTGTCGCTGGGTATATCAACCACATTCCAGGGCAGGTCTCATGCCCAGTAGTTGGCCAACACAAAATGGACTCTATGTTTTTTGGGTTTTTTTTTTTTTTTGGTGCACTTTATTTTGCGAATTTTTGCTTTATTCTATTTCTTTTAGTTTTTTCTGATTTTTGTTGTGCTTCTTGGCTTTTTTGTTGTTATTAAAGGAAGGAAAAGAACATGAAGTTGAGTGGGTTAAAAAGTAAGGAGGAGCTGGGGTAAGAAAAAGTATGTGATCAATATATTCTATGAGAAAACATTTTTAAAATAAAAACTTTAAAAAAGAGTATTACATTAGCTGAGAGTGCTGTTGCGCATACCTTTGATCCTAGTACTTGGGAATCAGAGGCAGATAGATAGGTCTCTGTGAGTTTTGAGGTCAGCCTGTTCTATACAGTGAGTTTCAGGCCAGCTACAAAGTGAGACCTTATCTCAAAATATGTATATATATGAAGTAGAAAGGAGAAAGAAAGAGGAAGAAGAGGAGAAAAAGGAGAAAAATGATTACATTGATGGTGCTGAAACGATAGCTTAAAAGTCAGAAGCATTTGACACTCTTTTAGAAAACCTAAGCTGCTATGGGACAATGGTCTTTTATCCTGTCACCTGTATTATTTTTAATAAAACGCTGATTGGCCAGTAGCCAGGCAAGAACTATAGGCAGGGTGACCAGGCAGGAAGTAGAGGCAGAGCAACAAGAACAGGAAAATTCTGGGAAGAGTAAAGACTCAGTCTGCAGTCCTCACCCAGACACAAAAGAAGCCAGACACAGAGTAAGCAAGATGGAAATGCCTCGCCAAAAAAGGTACCAAGCCACGTGACTAACACAGACAAGTATTATGGGCTAATATAAGTTATAAGAGTTAATGAGAAGCCTGAGCTACTAGGCCAAACAGTTTATAATTAATATAAACCTCTGTGTATTTATTTGGAACTGAATTATGGTAAGACCAGGTAGGACAGAAACCTCTGTCAACACTAAGCTTCGTTCTCAGCACCCTTAACAGTCAACTCACAAGTGCCTCTAACTTCAATTCCTGGAGATCCAACACTCTAGTCTGTCCTCCACAGGAAGACAGGCATACACACATACACACACATACACACACACACACACACACACACACACACGGTATATATACACATAAATAAAAATACAATCTTAAAAAAGAATATTACATTAAAATTTCCTAGGTGGTAGGCACTTGTGTTAAAGCAATATAGTTGCCTATTTTCCTTAAATTAGATTATTAAAAATTGGCCCGGGGCTGGAGAGATGGCTCAGAGGATAAGAGTACTGACTGCTCTCCCAGAGGTCCTGAGTTCAATTCCCAGCATCCACATGGTGGCTCACAACCATCTGTAATGAGATCTGGTGTCCTCTTCTGGCCCACAGGGATACATGCAGGCAAAATATTGTATATATAATAAATAAATAAATAAATAAATAAATAAATAAATCTTTAAAAAAAAATTGGCCCATGACTTATAGAAGCTTGGAAAGGAGAACTATAAAAGATATGTAGCTGCTGAATGTGAATTCTGGTCCTATTGTTTCTCCTAAGAGCTACAAAAGTCATCAGAAAAAGCAGAGTAAACCCAGAACTCATTCTTAACAGTTATGAAGAGTATACACAGCTGTTTATCAAAAGATTAAAAACCTTAGAATATTCTCATTTTTCTTTTTGTTTTTTTGTTTTGTTTATCAACCAGGTTTCTCTATGTAATACCTCAGACTGTCCTAGAACTCACATAGATCCACCTGCTTTTGCCTCCTGTGTGCTAGGATTAATGGCGTGTTTCATCACCTACCAGCTTCCTATTTTTCTTTAGTTGTTTCTTTTTTTCAAATGTGTCCTAGTGACATACTCATTTTCCTGGCTAATACTTCACATGCTGGTTCAGTGTTCAGCCCATGGCTGCTCGAACCCAGGCACCTGGGCAGAACACCACAGTGGCAGGAGTAAGTGGTGGAGGAGCAAGCATCTTTACTCATGGCAGACAAAAACTGAGCCATGAGGACTTTGTCTAGGTGACTCCAGCTGTACTTTATGTTGTAAGTTTGTTAAACACAAATGCTATCTAAAAACATGAGCTGTAAAGAAATCTTAATTCTCTAAATAGCAATGTGTTCCAGTACATTTTCTACCAAAAAATTTACAAAGGCTGGCTTTTAATTTGAAAAGTACAATTCAACAATTCCTTCCTGCACAACTACACAGACACTGAAACAGATTCAACATACATTTTCATTGAGTTTACTTGCTTCAAGGCGCATCCTGGTCTTCTCCATGTTTTCAATTTCTTGGACTATTTCAGCAGCTATTAAAATAAGAACAAGAAAAAAATCCACTTACTCTATGTCTATGTGAGGTTTTAACAACAGAGAAAGACAGGTGTATATAAATGCACATTCCTATCTTCTTTTTTCAAATTTCCAAAAAAAAGTGTGGTGGTTTGAAAAAGAATGGCCTCCACTGACTCATAAATTTGAATGCTAAGGTCCCCAGTTAGTGGAAATGTTTGGGAAGGATTAGGAGGTGTGGCCTTGTTGGAGGAGGTGTGTCACTGGGGGCTGGGTTTTCACAAAGGCCCAGTTGGGCCCAATCCCCCTCTCTCTCTCTCTCTCTCTCTCTCTCTCTCTCTCTCTCTCTCTCTGCCTGAAACTTGCACATGAGATGTGAGCTCTCAGCTACTACACCAGTGCCATGCCTGCCCATCTGCCACCCCCCCATCCCCACCATAATGGTCATGGTTGCTTTGCTCTCAGTGTTTCATCACAACAATACAACAGTAATTAAAACAGTAAATCTAGCAACATTTCAAAGTAAAACATTAAAAAAAGAATGTGGAGTTTTAATTTCCAACTCTTTTACATATCAAAATAAAATGTAAGAAATACTATGCTATTTTTGCCTTCTCTCTTGAATATATAAACAGCAATTCCAAAGAAATATGAGAATTAATTTACACTATGAGCTAAACTAAAACTCCAATATAGTAAATGTATTGAAACTTACCAAGAAGAAAGATCTGCAAATACCAGGGGAAATGTCCTTGCCTCCAAAACAAGTATCCATAGACAGTTTTATTTATTTATTTGGTTTTGTTTGTTTTTTTTTTTGTTTGTTTGTTTGTTTTGGGGGGAGACAGGGTTTCTCAGTGGATTTGGAGCCTGTCCTGGAACTAGCTCTTGTAGACCAGGCTGGCCTCGAACTCACAGCGATCTGCCTGCCTTTGCCTCCCTAGTGCTAGGATTAAAGACATGTGCCACCACCATCCGGCTCCTTAAACAGTTTTATATCACCCATAGTAGGAGACCACACATTAAATGGCTCCCTTTAAACATAAACAGTGCAGATTTTGCAAAAGCTATTTTTCAGTACCAAAAGTCAATCTATTTAAGTGCATGAGGTACATAATAAGAACTGACAATCATTTATATTCATTTATATGTAAAAAGATATTAAATCTGTAATTTACTTCAAAATATTCTATGCAGAGGCTTTAAATGGTAGACAAAAAACTAGGATGGCTTGACAATTGGTTACATTGTAGGGTTGACAGTTGGCTGCATTCCATGGGTGAAATGAGAGTACTAGTACTCTCATCAACCGGCTCTTACCCTCCTCATTCAATCTCCCTCTACATCCACCTCAATCTCCCCTTTGTATCAACTTCAAATAATCCTACTAAAGTTTATTTAAATTCAAAGCAACTACTTCACTTAAACAAAATAGTTTCTTTTCCAAGCACTGATATGTATCTGCCTCCTTACTTTTGTAGGGCTGGTTGAAACAATATAAAAAGTATCATCTGTGAATAAGAACTGTTCATCTCCTGTGAGCTAACTGAATCACAGTATAATAGAAAAGCAAAAGCATTTACATTCTATCCCATGCATTAATACAAGTACCATTCAAGACATCTGGCACACTCTACAATAGTAAGAAAATTATACTACGGTGGGCACAAGTTAAGGGTTTAAGTTATTTCCAGAAGTATTTCTGATTCTGTTTAGGGTGTAGAGAACTAACAATACTATCACCCTCACTATAATGACAAGGAAACACTAACAAGCTATCCAACTATAATTTTGCTTGTATCCATCAGAGTTAAAGTCAAACAGCAACTACATGTGCTAAAACCCCAAAACAGGTGGCAAGATTAGGAGCGATCATGACCATCAGGTGACAAAATTAAATGACTGTACATCTGAGTAAGATCATGGTTAAACTTTTTGATAGATTACAAAAGGCCCGGCGTGGCTACCAAGAAAACATAAAAAGGAAACAACAACAAAAACACAACTGAGCTCAGACACAGGAACATCAATGGCAGGCTGTTCCTACAGAATGTCAGCACTCCCATGTTTCTGCTACCTAGCACAATGAGACGGTGGGTCTCGGCTGCACATTCAGCCTCATAAACACTACCATGCCTTCCCCTCATGTCAATCAATCAATGAGACAAAATAAATCTTCCCTCTTTAAGTTGTTTCTTCTCAAGTATTTGGTCACACAGTAAAGGAAAGTAACTAATACCAAAAAAATTATTACAGAACAAGCTGGGCTTGGAGGTGAATGCCTTTAATGCCAGTTCTTGGAAAAAAGAGGCTGGTAGACCTCTGACTTCAAGACAAGCTTGGTTTACAAAGCGAGTTCCAGGATAGCCAAGGCTACACAGAAAAACTCTATCTTGAAAAACAAAACAAACAAAGAAATCAGCACAGAGGGCCTGGAGAGATGCCTTAGTGGTTATGAGCAGTGGTTGCTCTTCCAGAAGACCCAGGCTTGATTCCCAGCACCCACAAGGCACTCACAACCATTTGTAGCTCCAGTTCCAAAAGATTTACCCAATACCCTCCTATGACCTCTATGGACACACATACATAAACACAAATAAGTAAATAAATAAGCAAATATCTAATATCTGAGAGAAAGAGAGAGGGGGGAGAAAGAAAGAAAGAAAGAAAGAAAGAAAGAAAGAAAGAAAACAAGTACAGAAAATGGAGTCACTGTGACAAACGACCATGTGGCTCACTGGCCTTTGGAAGTAACATGCAGAAGGACTGTGCAAGAGTATGAGGCTGCAGGTTAAAGTGCTAGAATCCTTTAAGTGCAGCTTGATAGGCCACTGGTGGGAAAGAAGAAGACCAGGATGCTGAAACGTAGACAACGAAGACTGTATTCAAGAGGTTTCAGAGGGCAACAAGAGCTCTACTAGAACTAGGACAAGAGTTGAGGCCGTTTGTGTAATACTCTAGCAAAGAATCTGACTGCATTCTGCCAGTCTTGACTATGTCAGTAGGGCTGAAGTAAAAAATCATGGATTACTTTGTTTGGTGGAGGAAATCTTACAATAGTACAACATTGGGCTATGGCATGGCTACTGCTCAATGCAGCTATACTAATTCTCAGAAAATAGAACAAAAAAATATAAAAAATGTGCAATTTGAAAAGAAAGGAGCTTGAACCTGGGTAAAGCAGTGGACAGAAATGTAGTGGAGCAGAAAAGAGCTCTAATCACAAAGGCACTGGAACAGGGATGAACTTGTGGCTATTACCAAACTCACTCAGCTCAAGGACACAGAGTAAATAGACAGTAGGCAGATGTATGGAGACAACCATACCTGGGAGGAGGGGATTCTAGGATTTTGACCGTAATCTCAGGAGGCATTTTCACTTCAAAAATTTATCATACCATGCACTTTTCTGTTTTCATATCACTCTTCATTTTTTCAATTCTAAATGATCTTACCTATAAAGAACTCCAAAATGTATGCATGGTCAAGTGAAAACAACATGGAGAATACTGACATTTTTATGAATCAGTACCAACTAAGGATGTCTGTTTATGTATAATAATCATAATGGAAATATCTAAGGAGTTCTAAGTGCTTGCTGAGGTACTGTACTTGATATCTGAATGCATCCTATCATCTCAAAAACATGCAGCATGTAGGATTATAATCCTCAATTTACAGATGAGAAAATTAAAGTACAGAGACACGACTTATTCACAGTCACTCAGCATAAACTAGGAGGACTGTAGGCCTCCATATCGCTCTTTACCACCATGCCACCCTGGAGAGATACTCAAAACACTGGCAATAGTGATTCCTCTGCGAAGGGAACTGGGGCCAGGAAACAGCCTGAGAGGATGATGGCCTTAGCAGTGTTCTCCAGGTAGCTCTCGAAGGGATTCACCTGCATATCTGCTGCCAAAAAGGTACTTATTAAAATTCTTTCTGTGGTTTATAATCTCTGAGCCATACACTTCTTTATCCAAAGATGAGAACAGATGTATTACTTTACCTGATTTAGGATGCAAAGCATCACATTGGGAATTATACATGTGTACAAATTCTTGGTGCCTTTTAATAAGCTGCTGCTTGTTTCCTTGAATGGATAAGCCATACTGTTTCAACTTTTTCTTTAAATCACGATCAGAGAGCAAATTATACACTGTTTTTGGCAGTGGCTTCCTTTTGTGAGCAGAACTAAAATGAAAAAAAAAGAGATCTGAGGATTATTTTGAATTATCAAATATTCTCAATAAAATAGTAATTTGCCTTCACAACACCTGACTGACTACAAAAATAGTTGAGCCATTAAGATAAAAAAAGAAGAATATAGGGAGAAAGTTTAGTCAATGAAGTGCTTGCCTCACAAGCATGAGTTTGACCTCTGGCATCCATATAAAAAGTTGGGGAGGTAAAAACAGCATCCTTAGAGCTTGCTAGTCAGATAGCCTAACCAACCAGCAAGGCCATGTCCTAGTGAAACTCTGTCTCAAAGAACAAGGTAGAATATACTCCTGAGTATGATACCCAGGGTTGAACTCTTCCACACACATGCTAACATACACACATACAGCCTCTACACATGAACATGCTTTACCCACACCCATACTAAGGTAGAAAGATGGGCAAGTGTCAGCATACGCATTCTGAGTAGAGGTTCAGCTCTATGGGCAATTAGGTGTATAATAAACAGTTGTCAAAGCAGTCTTTACTACTGCAATCATTTCAAAATGACAACAGCAAATTAATAAGATCTTAAGAGTAACAGGGTTTAAAATAAAGTTTTTTTTTTAAAAAAAAAAAGCAAAAAATGTTCAAATGCTGATGCTTCCCAAACTTCAAGAACCTCAGAACTGCCAGGAGAGTGTAGTTTAAATGCAACACTTCCTCAGTTACTTTCTCTACAGCACCCATCCACATGATGCAGACCTAAAGTGGAAGCTGAAAATCTTTACTTTCCAGTTTCCTAAGGTAAATCTGATGTGGTGGTCCAAAGGTCATACTGAGAGCACTATTACAGTCAAGTAGAGATACAACTGTTCTACTCACACAATGACCATTTTCTAGCTAAATTATCTCTTTTATGCTCTGTTAGTAAAGCCTGGAAAGCCAGAAATAACTACTTATTTATAAAAGGACCTGAAAACTTCCACAGAGTATATTTTTCCAAATTGTTCTTATAATGGCATTCAATTAGGCCCTACCAGATTGATGACATTATGGTAAAATAAAATCACAGCAGGTAGGATCAACTGAATCATTCTGCTGTGTTTATGGCAAGCACAAAAGGAGGAGCAATTCATTAAGTCTCTAACTAAAACATTTATTTGATCAAAGACAGACAATAACAACTATAAAATTCTAATAAAGATGTGAAGTGTCCACTGGCATTCACAATGAAAGCAACATCAGACATCAACCATCTCTGTCAAGAAGTGAAAGTATGGGAGCTGGAGAGATGGCTCAGCGGTTAAGAGCACTGACTGGCTGCTCTTCTGGAGGACCCAGGTTGAATCCCCAGCATCTACATGGCAGCTCACACCTGTCTGTAACTCCAACTCCAGGGCTTCTCTAACACCCTCACACAGACAAACATGCTGGAGAATACCAATTATCATAAAATAAAAATAAAATAAAGAAAATAATTTGAGACTATGAAGTCAGAGAAGCATTACCCCAAGCATGGAATGATACTGATCTTTCCTATGCTGACTCGGTGAAGTGGAATCACACACGTCAGAAGTCTCAGAACTAGACAGCTATAGAAAGAGTTCTGCTCTAAACCATCAGACAGTTCTACATAGGGTGGTAAAAGGGTTACCAGCCACACCCAGAAATTGACCTTTTAGGGTTGTAAAAAGAGACCTTAAGACACAGAGACTTTTACGTGACCAAACCCCAGGCCAGTATAAAACTAAGAAGATTTAGCTTCATGTTTCCCTAAGTGTGCCTGAATAATGTCGTAAAAAATGACTTGTGAGTACAAAAACAAAAAAATACAACAAACTCCAGCAGGTACCTTGAGTGAGGACCTTCAGTCTACTAAGAGTGACACAGTTCTAAGTTGCACTGGGGACCAACTGGCAGGACTGTCTGAGCAACCAGATTTGGAACACCACTGGACACAGCTAAAGAATTAGAAGAATACAACAGCTACATCTAGAAATAGAACAATCTAAACAAGATCAGATCATTCATCAGTGCCAATTTCTTACTCTTCAGGAAGAAAATACTCAGCTTTTCTACTCCCAACTCTGGAAAAAACAGAAGGAAAAAAAAGCAAGTAATAAGATGCTAATGGCTTAGCAGTCATCCTGGAAGCTACCAGTTTATATTATCCCAAATTCCCCCTAACTTAGCAACATAAACATCTAAATTCTATTCCCATCAACAAACTTGTAGATACAAGAAGGCAATCCTTGTGAGCACAGGACTGCCCAGGCTTGGAGTCAAGTACAGCCTGTGCTGTGAGTTAGCAACACATCACTACCCTTCAACATCAGCCTTTGTAAGATTCAGCAGCAGTCTGTCCCTTGAAACCTGCATTCACTCCAAACTTACACACACAAAAAAAAGTGGCATTTTTTAGTTTTAATAATTAAATCAGTAAGATGGCCCTCTCTTTGGAGAGAATGCTTTTGGGAAAATACTCTTCAAAACAGATGAGACACACACAAGAGCCAACAATTCTCTTCCTCCCGCTTTCCAGGCATCACTAATATCGTCAGCCCCGTTCTCTTTTCCACCTATTCTCTCCAACTTTCCCCAACTTCATTCCCTGTGCTCACCACTATTCTACTTACTGTCAGACAATAGCAGAAAGACCAAGGCCTGTACGCTACTTTTAAAAATAAAATCTTTCCTTGACCTTGCTGCCCATGCCGCTCCCAACTACATTTCTCTATCATCACCCAGACTCAAACACGACATTTCTTCCTTACTGTTTTTACCAGCCAGATTCCTGAAGCCCTACAATTTAACTTCAATAAAAATATCACTCCTTGAACACACATGTGAACTAGTTTTAGATTTGGAGACTTTGATACACAAAGGATGCAAAGTAGCACAGTAGTCTGGATACAAATACTGACCTCACAACTTATTAGTAATGTCATCTCTTGGTGTTTTGAAGACAAAGTCCTTACATTCCATACACATTCTCTGGCAAGGAAGAAATAGAAACGTGGGGCTGGAATGTCACTGTAGCCTAGGCTAACCTACTTCTCAGTAGTCTATGCTGCCCTTGATTCTCCTGTCTCAGCCTCCTGAATACTAAGATTGTAGGCATACACCACCATATCCAATTATAAATATTCTTCTGTATCATTTTTACATATGTAAGTAGAACAGGCAATTCAAAAACTAATTTTTAAAGACGTTCACTAAGTACTAGGTTTTAAATTCAATTCTGAGCCCTATATAAATACAGACAATCAGACAGACAAAAATACAATAAGTTTGATTTAAATTAATATTTAAGATATTAAATTTCTTATTAATTAAATATCTATTTAAAATACTAAAACATCCTAAGAACTAATGAAAGATTTTACATGTTCTAAATTCAAACTGTCCTTGCTTTCTTTGTGCAAGGCCTTTGTACAAAAGTTTGAGAATTCTAAAAACAAAGTGAACTAGTCTCTGTGAGTTTGAGGCCAGCCTGGTCTACAGAACGGCCAAGGCTACACAGAGAAACCCTGTCTCAAAACAACAACAACAACAGCAAGAAAGACAAGTGATTCTAAGTCAGTAGTTTCTCTAAGTCATGATATAGCAGTTAGCAAGCACTGATCCGCTACTGACATACGGCAGAGTGTGAGCTGAAGGAGGAACAAGAGTGAGGGATGGAAAGGTAAGCAGAGTTAGAGGAAAAATCAAGCAGGAAGCACTAGTCACCAGGACAAAAGGTTAGTCCTGGTTTTGATTCACGTCTATAAAGCACAGAAGCACCCAGCCAAAGCAGGTCAGCAGCTAAGCTCGGCTTTCTTACCTTCGAAGACTCTCTTTCTTCTCTCCACGTGTCAAGCAACTGTCTAAATGCTTATTGATGTGATTTTCTGAAATGCTGACCTCACAAACGGGACAAGACACTGCATTTTAAAAAGAGAGAAAGAAAGGGGAAAAATAAACAAGTTGGCACAGACAGAATCCGAGGTAATCTGCTCTTAGAAAAACCCACAAGGCACGGAAAGCGGGTAAAACTGGTTACTAGTAACTAGCTACTTTGTGGGGTGTCACACAATCAGAATCCTAGGCCTAGAGACTGAAGTAAGTTTGGAAGTTAGCTAATTAGAAAATGCTTTAGCTACAATTTTGCTACCAAGGTACCAGCAGACCATAATGCTGAGCCTTTCCCAGGCCCTAGGACTACCTTACCCTAGAAGCAATGTCAACAACACTGTAATGAGGTTACAATTATGAGTAAAACGAAGGCTCTGATTTTTAATAGAACACAAAGAATTTTATCTATTTTATATGCTATGGTTCATTCTAAGATTTCATTTGGAGAGAAAAAAAGTTCTACAAGAGTTGAAAACATGTCCCAATGAAATTAAAAACACAACAGCAAAAACCACAGAAAGTGGTCCAGAGTGAGATGTGGTATGAGATACATGTAATCAAAAAAACCCCAAACACTACTATTGGCCTTCACCTGTGGGCTGCAAGGGTTTGCTAAAGACACACGTTCCTAGTAAAAGATGAGGCCATAGAGGTCAGTCAGGGGCTTTCCAGATGAGTCTTCCCACCAGAATCCTGGCTCTGTCATCATGAGGCCACTCTGCACCACTGCAGAATGGAAACCTCAGCGATGATATGTAAACACAGAAGGAGTGCATGCTCCAGCAAACCTGTCTTTACCATACAAGCGGCACACCAGCTCTGGTTTTCAGTTACTGTCAGTCTATGGGTGCACTGTACAAAGAGTGAGACAACAACTTGGCTTCAGAGACATTTGGGAGGGAGAGCTAAGAGATAAGGAAGGTTACCAAAGTACATGTCATATGCCAAAGGACATTAAACTACAGGCAGAACATCAAGGAAGTAGTCAACCTGTGGCATAAAATGGAGGCTTCTTTAAGAGCTAACTGGAACTGGATGAGGTGAGAGGGCTCCAATCTAAAAACAGAAAGCTACCACAAGAAGCATTAACTACTAAACCATTTCACTTCTGCATGAATCATCCTGACTCTATTCTATGAAAAAGACAAAAACTCTACCTCTAAGCACTGACTGCATCATGTCTGAGACACAGTAAAGTAGAACCTGGTCTATGCCTTCTTACTCCCCCCTCAAACGCACTGCCTGTTAAACTTACACCACAAGAACGAGATTTCCTTAAGTATGAAAAGGCATATATAAAAATGACTTCCTACCTTTATTTTCCAGTTTCATGGTGGATGTAGAGGGTGTCACAGGTCCATTAGCATCCGAGGGACCAAGTACTGTCTTTCCCTCGAGACTTGTCTCTTTAGCCTCAGTAGAGGTGCTTATCTCTTTTTGCGGGCTATACTTCCTGTCATTTTCTTTTCCCCCCGTCTCTCTTATCAGGAACTTGTCCATCAGCCTGCTCCCCTGTTTGACAGGGTGTTTGGTGGCTTCAGCATTATGCACTTTAGCAACAACTTTCTTTGAGGTGGAAGACACAGGAGATATGGGTGGTGACTCTAAAGCAAACTGCAACAGGCGAGTCCTTGAATCACACAAAAAAAGAGGGAAAAGATTGGAAACTATGTCAAATTAGACATAATAAACTGGGATCTTCCCAATTAACACTTGTTTCTCTGAAACACAAAATTCATGCTGCAATCACAACCAAACTAAAGAGTTTCTTTTAAAACAACAAACAGAGCAATAAATCAGAATTAAAAGGTATTTACTAGGACTTCAAGTATATTGGGTTCTAGTTGCTGCTATGAGTCTTCCTCTACAATGGCTAAATAAAATCTGAAGAAATACATGAAGCAACAGCATCACTACAGCACAATCAGCACAGAAGTCTGGTCCTTACTAGAAGAGACACATAAGTGACTGACACTGCCCCAAGATCTCCCTTCACTTGGAAGCGTTTTCATGGATTTGCATATTGAGCTAACATCTAAGCAGGAAAAGTGATCTCAATTCTGGGCAGAGGTGATGAGCACTGGGGACACAGGATGCTTGGCATGTGGGAGTCACGAGAAAAAATCCTCTCAACCATCTACAATCATCTCTGGGGTACACAAAGACAAAACCCCCACAGGGGTCTGGTAGGAAAAAGACATTGGTAAACAGATGGCAGACGTCAGTGCTGGAAAGGACAAAGCAAATACCCTCATGAAGACATGGGGACTGAAGTGAGACGTCACAGAGGCTATACCTTAGGGAAAGGAACACTGTGCATTGTGTTTTCACACAAATGTGCATTCACGCATATGTGTGTCTACTTCTGTATGTGTAAATCTCATGTGTATGCATGTATATGTGTGTAAAACTAAAACAGAATATAATAATACATCGCTCCACCCTTAATGGAACAAAAGCAAGAAGCTGGTAATTTAGTTGCTTGTCAGAACAAAATACACTATCTTTCAAAGAAAGATTTTACAGATTCTACAACATTTGGTCCATAATGTTCACAAAAAAAGAAAAAAGCTACTAATCAAGCCATAAAATATTCAAAAGAAACATACGAGAGGTTTATCTTTATTATAAAGTACTATTGAATTGTATCAGATGCATTTACGCATTCACTATGATTATATACATTTTTCTACTTTATTTTGCTAATATAGTTACATCAGTTTGATGAGGAACCTCCTTTGGCCAATGGTCTTCGAGAGGCTGGACCAGGTTGGACGTAACCTTGGGTACCAAAAAGCATGCGGGTCCAGCCACACTCTCATTCTCTCCCTGCTTGACACACCTGAATGTTGGATTCTGTCCCTGTTCCCCATTGTGATCTGTGAGTTCCCCTTTAATAAAGAACCCCTTACTATACCATATCCAGAGCTAGTCTGGGATTATTTTAGTCACATTTCCCCCAGTCTGGCTCATTCCCCTTTATATGCTGCCCAACGTGGGAACGAGTCCATGCTTACCAGAAACCCACCACCACACCCCGCGTTAACCAGCTAGATCATGTTTCTCATCCACATCTCACCCACCTGCCACTGCCTAGGATCCCAACTTTCCCCACAGCAGCCCACCATTCTTTTTATCACATTGCGATCCACGCGGCATTACATCTGCCAACTGTGTGGCTCGCAACTGACAGAAAGCCACCAAAACTCTCTCCATGTACAGAATTGCATTAATTGTCCTTAATAACTGCTCTTAATTTGTTAAGCAAAGCATATTTGTCAGTATCTAAGTAGGCAACAAGCGCAAAACCAAAGCGAGATTGTCCACGGCTCCTCATGTCTCTCCTCCACTTTGTTTCACCACATGGCTGCAACCACAACACCTGCTGGCCAATAAAGATTACATCTATTCACTGAAATTTCCTAAAGGATAATGGAGTGAATACTTGTGAGCTATTATTTATAGACAATTTACACTGGTATAGATTCTTATATATTGATACAAATTCAAACTGTATTTGTTATATTGAATATGCTCCTATTTCTGTTTATAATATTTAACTTCCTCTCCTATTGTGTAAGATTGTATTATTGTGTAAGATTGTGTACTTAACTTCCTCTCCTATTGTGTAAGATTGTGTACTTAACTTCCTCTCCTATTGTGTAAGATTGTGTACTTCCTCTCCTATTGTGTCCTCAGCCTGTTCAAAGTTAACCCACCTTTAAGAGAACAATGTAACCAACACAGCTTGCCTTGAATTTCCCACACAATTGAGCTTTTTAAACCTAAGATAAATACATAGCTTTTTATCTTCAAAAAAAAGAAATTTGCACACCTATGCAAAGTTATTTTATCATATTGTATGCATGCATGTTTCTACCTCTGTTTAAGACACTTTGTATATTGATACAATTTTAGAATATACTTATCATGTGGCATTCATTATACATTTCTACCTCTGATCAAGAGAGTTATATACTGTTTACATTTGAGATCATTATCCTCATTTGCTGCCCAGTTTTTTAAAGATGTTTAATATTCTAATATGAAGTCTTTAAACTACATAGGTATTAAGTATTATAGACCAATAGTCATCCATGTTTGTAATACTTATAGTTAGACTAATCAGGTTCTTTAGATACATAGACTGTATTCTGCATAGATAGGTAATCTTCAACCACTTCAAAGAACTGTAGAATATGGCATTTAAATAACCAAGGGATCTGTTGACGTGAGATACGATTGCTCCTGGCAGCACTGATCTATTCCCAAGAGAATGTTGAACACCAAAGACTGGACCACTTGGAGCTTGTTTTCTTGACAAAACTGACCTTTGGGCAAGGAACTGCCCATGCCTCAACCACTGACAAAATGTACGGTGTCTGGACAGGACAAGCAGGATATGAGAAAAAAAAAAGACTGCAATACCTTTCCAAGACAGGGTAAGATGGTTTTGAAAATATTCCTGCCTCTGAAATGATCTGTCAGTTACTCTAGGCCTTAGCCAAAGTTGGTTGCTCCAATGCTGCAAATGAAACTTTTGCTACCTGGTGATTGCCCAGGTAGCCATTTGTCTCTGTCATCTACTGTACATTTTGGAAGGTGCTTGATTGCACTTCCTACCTACTCAAGTAATATTAGCTCCCTTCTCAGGTCTTTGATGGGGTTGAAGACTAGAGATAGGAACAGTTACTTTCCTCTTATGGCTTAGCCAAGCCATTTCTAATACAAGACTTAGACTCCTTAAGATAAAATAATTATTGAAACATTTAGCATATGTTTTATGCTTAATATTGTTTATGCTGGTTAATTCTAATTTTTATACTTGATATGTTCTTATTGTATATAGTTTTGTATTAGGTTTAAAATTCTCTCATTTAGATAAAAAGGGGAGATGATGGGGAACTTCCTTCAGTCAATAGTCTTTGAGAGGCTTGACCAGGTTGGGTGTGGCACTGGGTACCAAAAAGCACATGGGTCCAGACACACACACACATACACTCTGTCTCTCCTGCTTGCCCTGTTCCCCTGGGTGATCTGTGAGTTTCCCTTTAATAAAGAACCCCTTATTGTACCATATTTGGAGCTATCTTGGGATTATTTTACTTGCATTCCCCCCATCTGGCACGTCCCTCTTCATTAGTTGATTTTTCAATGTATCTTAAATTTTTATGCCTAGGTTTTACTGTTTTGCCAATGATTTTGAGATTGCTTATGAAAGACTACTGAAGTATAAGTTTCCTTCTTTTTTTTTTTTCCAAGACTGGTTTCCCTGTGTAGCCCTGGCTGTCCTGGAACTCATTCTATAGACCAGGGTGATCTCAAACTCACAGAGATCCACCTGCTTCTGCCTTCTGAGTGCTAAGATTCTAGAATTAAAAGCAAGTGCCACTACCACCCAGCTGGAGTATAGTTGTTTTCCTTTCCTGCCTGTCTGGGTGTATCAAGATTCTGCTTCTTTCTTTACCTCCCTCCTTCCTTTCTTTTCTCTTCCTTCTATGCAGGGTCTCGCTATGCAGTCCTGGCAGGCCTAGAACTCACCAATCTGATAAAATGCTATTTGAAAGGAAGAAAGAAAAAGAGAGAGAGACAGACAGACAGACAGACAGACTCACAACCAGTCCCAATCATGAGTGATGACAAATGAGACATCTCCCCCAAGACTGACTAAGACACAGATGTCTACCACCAACAACTCTCTTAAAACTGCAGAAAATGTCCTGAGCCAAAGACAAGAACAAAAACAGGAGCCAGGGATAAAGAGTATAAAAATTACAAAAGGAGAAAGAAAAATATTCATTTCCAGGGGAAAGTTAGGTGCAAAGTAGGTAGAGAGGGCAGTCATTATACTATCTTGCCAACTTTCATACAAATTTAAAAATCTCCCACAGTTTAAAAGAGAAGATTAAAAATAAAGAAAAGCTAAGCCAAGGGTGATAGAACATGGCTATAATCTCAGCATTCAGGAGACTGAAGCAGAAGATTCTAACTCAAGCCCAATTTCTGATACATAGTGATGCTGTGTCTAAGAAAAGTCAAGAAAAGGAGGGAGATTAGGTAGAAGGAGGGAAATTGGGAATTGGGGGAAAGAAGAAGGGAAGAAGGGGGAGGAGAAAGTCGGAAGGGAAAGCAGGAAGATTAAAGAAACATCTAAGGACCTTCATCTTAGGGAGGAAATAGAAATTAAAAAAAAAAACAACCCAGAACCATCATCTCTCTTTCCTTCCAGTCTCTGGAAGGTTCTAAGAAAGCTCTTCTCTCATAATGACAAGGGCAGGAGTCAGTATTCAACCACAGATGAGACACCACTGATCTTTTCAGCATACTAGTGATAAGTTTTTGCCTTTAATCCACAATTCAGATGAATTTAATTATAATTGGCTCTGTTATTTCAAGGAACGCCAACAAAAACTATGGCTGACAGTAGCAACAAGGTCACAATAAACTATTCTTGAAGCTAAAATTAAAGCCTATTAACTTATTCCAGTACCACCTACTCTTGCCCGAGAAGCAGAATAGAAAACAAATCCTATACTCCATGAAAGTTACAAAGTAAGCGGAAAAGCACAGGCTTATACAAAATATGTGAAAAGTGATAATACAATGAAACCAAAGGGCTAAGAAAACAGT